CTTCTGTCTTCTGCTGTACTTTTCACCTGCATCCATGTTAGTCCAAACTGCTTCAGCTCCTCTTCACACGATCTCCTCCATGTCACCCTTGGACGTCCCACTCGCCGCTTCCCTTCCGGGTTCCACTTGAGCACTGGCCTGACACGCGATGTCACCCAACGGCCTCCTCAGCGAGTGTCCAATCCATCTCCACTTTCTCCTGCATATTCGTTGAGCGATTAGTTCTTTTTTTGTTTCTTCCCATAGTTTCTTGTTGGTGACTCTTTCCGGCCATCTGATCTTCAGTATAGAACGAAGACAGTTGTTAATAAAGGTCTGCAACCTGTTGAAAATATTCTTTGTGACACACTGGCCAAATTTCTGATCCGTATAGAAGAACTGACTGACTTGACGTTTGTATTGAAAATCCGAATTTTGTTGTTGATGCAGGCTGAGTGACGAAGATTTCCAGATTGGTTTAAAGTTGATGAATGTGTTTCTGGCCCTCACGATTCTCGATTTGACATCCTCGTCCGTTCCTCCTGTAGTTGAGACAATGCTCTCTAGATAAGTGAAAGAAGTAACCTCTTTCAAATCCCTTCCGTTTATGATGACTGGGGCTGGATGTTGCTGATGCTGTTGCTGTTGTTGGTTGGTTATTTTCATAACCTCCGTCTTTTCTATGTTCCAGGTGTCTAGTACTCCTTGATTTTCAATAGTTCTCTGTCTAATATCATTCCGTGATCAAATAAGCAGTCGAAGACTAGCCATATATCTACATACAAATGCTGTTATTATACATAAGTATTCAGTTCAAATTAGTTTCTTCTGTTATAATCACTTCGAATAGATAGTTCACCATAAAATTCGTCACTCGGTACTAATAGTATTTATACCAAATGTAATACACTTGCACGACTTGATATTTTTGAACCACTATGGCTGGTTGAATGTCCTAATTAGTCTATTCATCTGACTTTTGTTGCTTTATTTTCTATTAAAATCGACACATTTGAAAGTAAGTAGTATGCTTTATTAACAAGAGATGGCGACTAAAATTAAGGAGGATTATCAGCCAGTCTCTCAGAGCACTGTATGTTTCTGAAGCTTTAGACGAATTCTTCATCTGTATAATAATACTTATTAATCTGGGAAGTTTGATGAAGTAGTAGCATTATATTTGGTGGAAAAATTGGTGTAGCCTGTAGCAGACTTTGATTTAAAGTTAAAATAACATTTAGAACTTCTGCACATTTGCGTAGGATTTAGGAATTTAAAGTCATTTTATGAAACTGGACAACAATTGGGAACGTTACATATCTAACTATTCTTAAACAGAAATAGTGCTTTGATTTCCATAAAATACATTTGTTCTTCTCAGGTAATCAATATAACACAAAATAGATTAAATAATACCTGCTTTAGTATAGATCCACAAAAACAAAAACAACTTCCCCTGTTCTTTAGTAAACAATATGGTAATGTGAAGTAATATTCAAATAGAATGTAGCACTGTCACTTTTTACTGGTTCTCTAACCGATAACAATTCGTGGTCAGAATCATAAAAAAATCTAATCTTCACAAACCAGCTCTTGAAAATTAATCTGATGCTCACTAGTGACTGGCTACAGGACGGAGTTTCCTGGAGTTCTAGTGAGAAGTCGTGATCAGTGAGGTCCATCCAGTCAAGTGTGAGGATGGGTGTCCCACCGATGACATTGGTTGGTGGTCACGCTAAATCACTAACTGGTAGAAGTTCGAATTCGTGGGTCATTGAATCAGATCTCAGTGGCTGAATGGTATACAGGCTTGCCTTGTAGCCGGAAGGTCCTGGGTTCGAACATCAATGGATGCGTACTGCCAATGATTCCCAAACTAGGATGAAACAGACGTCCAGTACTCCAAGGTTTTCAGTTGTTCTCTAACTGATATCAATCCGTTGTCAGACTCCTAAAAACAACTCTCTTTCTTACAAACCAACTCTTGGAAAATAAAAACCGTTATAGATAAAGTATTTAACAATATTCTCTTTTTTTCTTTCAGGGAAACACTCAGGAGTCCATTCTGTGGGGAAAGAGGCTCAATTTCTATCAAGACTTGATATCAATGATGACAAAAAGACTGTTTGTTTGTTAAGGCTTAGCCCGCTTAGTCTGATTTCTAGCACTGTAGAAAATACAAGCCCTTAAGAAGCTCGTGTTTTGCTTTCCTTCCTTGCGTGACTGCTACTCGTTGTGGTATAACTTGGCAAATGAATAGTAAATAATGTTGAGAATTCGAATAATTCTACCACAGTGCCCAATTTATATACTTACAATAAGAATTCGAATAAATTCATTTCACATTGAAGTTGATGCTGAAGATGTTGTCTAGGAAGACAATGAAATCTTTGCAATATAATCCCATCAGAATCATGCACTGAAGCTTCTCATCTGTACTATTTCAAAACATACATTCCACCCTCATTGGACCGACTAACTGAAACAGAGGAACTGTTCCATCGTAAAATTAGAAACTTAAACTTTTTAAAGCGGAAAAATTGGACTTCTAAAACCGGAGAATAAGACTATGAGATTATGAGTTTTTGCTTATTAATTTTGATTTCAAACCAAAGTTTTTTGTCTATAAAATATAAATCACGGAAGAGTTTGGAAAGTGATGTGGTTAAATATATTTGGTGATTAGTATAGCTGTGATATGTATATTGAAAACGTTACTTCTGGGAAATATGAAGACGTATTTAGATTTCAGATGAGAGCTGTCTTCATATTTCTTAAGTCTGCTGGGCCAAGAATTTTCAGTTCACAAAAATATTTTCTCAAAAAGTATAATTTAGTCTGTGCATAAATAAAAAATAGGTAAGATGTCTCCCCTACTATATTCTCATTATAAGTTCTCTAAATAGAAATAGAAATTTTCAAGTATTGGTTTTGTAGGGAATTTTGTTTGACTGGTTGAAGGATTTCATCATGAACTGATATCAGATAGAGAACCATTAGAAAACCTGCAGGGAGTACTGGACAACTGTTTCCTTCTAGTTTACGACTCTTCAGCACTACGCGCCCACCGACAGGAGTCAAACCCAGGACCTTCTGGTTACAAGGTGAGCTCGTAGACTATAAAAACAAATAATTAAACAAAATGAATCGATCAGCGTTTCTGGTAAACTACATTTCTGAAGAAATCATAGTCAGTGTTTCTTCTTCATCTTCATAAAAAACAGAGATGCAACTAAATTTACACATTATATATATTATTATATTATTCCTCCCTTGAGTTGTAAGTGAAACATAAAGCTTTAGAGGTATATGTACATTGCACTTGGTTCTGTGCCATCACTTTCAACTTATTCTAGGACCGTCCATAGGCTTTCACTTCCTTTCCACATAGTTTCCTCCACATCAGCTTCTGCTGCTCAACGTATCTCCTACAATTAGGGTCACACTCCAGGGCCAGACGTGTGATGACACCTGTTGTCCTCTCCTCACCTGTACGCATATTGTAGCAATATTACGTATTTGAATAAACAAGTTTAGATGTTACTTGGCCTGTAGCAAAAGAATCTAGGAGGTGCGCTTCTTTCTATTTAGGACTTCTGAGTTGGATGTACCTACAGTTTTATTCGGTGATGATTTTTCCAGTAAGACTCAAACCCACTCGGATACTCGACCACCATTCACTCAGAAGATATCAGTTGCTGTAAACTGAAATTGCTTAGGATTTTCCATCAGCTTATTATATTGAACCGAAATGCTTAGGATCTTTTGACATGCCGCTTCCCTCGATGATGTCTTGAGGTGAACATGATATAAACTGTTTGATGTCAACAATTTAATACCTACACAGAAACAGCACAACGTAATATTATTAACTGTTTGTCTTTCTTGTTACGTAAGAAATAATTGCATTTTTTCACTGTATAGATTAAACAATGAACCACGTAAATATCATTATTCTTCATAATATTAAGTTTTAACTTTGTATCTTTAAAAACAGTTGTATAATGACCACATGGTAATCACATTTTGAATGATAATCATAGTCCTTTAAATTTATATTATCAACAGACGCAATTATTTAGTAAGACAAACTGTTCTTTCAATTTATATCAAAATATTATGTCACTTTTTGATTCTGGATATAGAGAATTCGGTTATTAGTCATACAGTTCACTTGACTGTTGTTATTTTTGTTTAATTCTTATAATCTACATCAATTAAATTATCTCCTAACACGTGACTTGACAGAAAAAAAAGTGAATTTAAAGCGAATTTACTTTATCTACTTTCCCCTGTGTTATTTTTTTGGGGGGGGGGATTTTATAAACACTATGTTTGATGGATTCCATTTTTGCAGTGATTACACCATATTATTATGTGAGTGAAAATATTACTTCATAATGTTTATCGCGTTTTGTACTTCGCCCTTGCGTTGAGATGACATTAATTATAAGTTATTACAGAGATATTTCAAAGAGCTAAAGCAGTTGTTTTATTCTGTTCAGAAAGTCGTAATAAACTTCAGAATCGTACACTTTTCTAGAGAAGAGTGGTATTAGAGTCTGCTTTCTCTAACTACTGACATATGGGTATGAGTATTTCTTCTCAGCTTAACTTTGTGTTACTCTTTGATTGATTATTTTTGAAAGTAAGGCATTTTAAACTATGAGTTCAGGGTTCGAGTCTCAGTGAAGACGCCATCACTCAATAGGGTATGCAGGTGTATCCAGTGACAAGTCCAAAATAGGACGAAATGCACATCATGGATTCACCGCTAGTCACCACTAACCAGAGTATTACTTCTGTTTACTGCAAAATATAATCTTCATATCAGTGACTCAACATAGTTTCACTGTAGCAAAGTACCTCAGAAGTACTCAAGCAGCATTGCTTTTTATTTCCATTTTAACTCAAATTTTTCGGAACAATCAAATTTATTGTGTTGCATAAAAAGTGTATATAATTATTATTCTCCCTAGTAGGATTTAAAACTTTTCCAATAGATCAGAAAAACGTCTTACCTGTTGAACTTCCACTTGATTTATGAATAAACTGTCTAGGGTCATAGGCTTTTCGGCGTTGCCAGTTCAAGGCAGCCAACATCTTGCTATTCTTCAGTGAATCTGAACCTGAATGTCTTACATTTTCGGGTGTAGACGAAATAGACAGATGATTATTAGATGCAGTATTACGATCACAGCTAACTGTTTTTTGAGAGAATAATGTTTTGGTAGACCTGTCTGTAGACACTGGAGGATTTGATGAAATGTGTGATAACCTAGCGGAAAATGAAAGGTAAAAAATGATGGCAATAATAATAATAATCACTTGATGACACTTCTGTTTCGTTTGAAGCTAAACGATATGAAAAACTCCTTGAAATCGAATGCATTTCCAAAAGCGTAAATGACACTTCTATTTACTGAAAACAGTTCATTACAGTAGTAGGTCCAAGATATATTCCTCCATATGTTATTTACCACATAGATTCAAGGTAATTTATGACTAATAGAGGTATGTTCCATTCTGAAACTAGGCGAATGATAATAATAACAGTAATAACTGAGGTATAAATATATGTCAACTATGCAGTGAAGACATTTCATTTTCTCTATATACAGTAAGGTGTATCAACAAAACTAAATAGTATTATCTGTTAACAAAAACTTTATAAATTTCTTTGGATTATTTTTCATATTGACAACCGCCTACTTATTCCTAGGCTCATTTCGGTTAATTCCATTATGGGTAAATTTTGTTTTGATAAAGTCTCATGGTGTTATACAGTAATGTTTACTGATGACGTTTCCAGCACAATTTATTGCTCATAATCATATCAAGGTATCAGTAAACATTACTGTATAACACTGTGAGACTTTATCAAAACAAAATTTACCCATAATGGAATTACACTCTACCACAGTGCACAAGTTTTATTCTTATATCAGTTCGGTCAAATCCGATCAGCCAGTTTCTCAACAATATATGATATCTTTTAATTCTGTTTCAAGTTTTACCACGGATTGATATGAGTTAGAGAACCGTTGAAAACCAGCTTCACCGTCCTAGTATGGAAGTTATTGGCGGTACACAGCCACTTCGGTCAGAACCCAGAACTTCCCTGCTGCAAGTTGAGCTGGTAGGCTATTCGGCTACTAGGGCTTGACTCAGTGAATTCTAGCTTCTGCTAATTCGTGATTTTAGAGCGGCCACCTCTGAGACAAAACAGCCCTTCAGTACTCCCTGGTTTTCAGTGGTTCTCTTACTTATATCAATCCGTGGTAAAACATGAAACAAATCAAGTCTCTACAAACTAGCTCTTAAAATTCTTTTAGTTTCACCGGTAATTCCTAATGAAATACTTTTCCTTTTGGTCATCAATAAATATAGACTGCCTCGTCTAGTTCTGAAGATTTTTTGACTTATGATATCAGTCATATTGATAAAATAGTTGGTAACGCGGTTGGTATCAAAAATATTCATTTTATTGATCTATCCAAACATAAATGTAAAGCTATGAAAAAAATGGATAATGCTGAAATAATATCACCCGTTGTAAAAAAGGATGACCGTTACTTACTTTGAGTAATTACGTCGTGTTTCAGATGCATTTCTCATGGGTACTGAAGAGTGATCATATGGAGAGATATTGGAATTCTTTGTACACCGTGGTGTAGGTTGCTGAGATTGTGGTCGGCCAGTTACCATAGACTGACCTATTCTGCGTGATCGAGTACTCCTTTGTTCAGAAATGTCATTAGATCGAGTGCTTCGTTGTGATGAAATGTCATTAGATCCATTAACTATACCTCTTTTCATATGTTCAATATCGCCATTACTAGGCCTTGATCTATCTTGCCGTCTCTGTAGGATGGCTGATAGACGCTTATTTACAGCTGAACCAAGCAGTTGATCAGCGTTATCTAATGCCTTCGCTACTTCATAATCTTCTGCACAACCGTTTGCATCATTCAGTCTAGCAGACCACTGCACATGATTATTCACTTTTTCAGATTTGTGATTTGCCATCTTTTGCTCTAGTTGCTAAAATTCAAGAAAGACTATATAAACAGTGCAGAATAATCCAAGAAATAATTGCTTTTTATTGGTAGATGTATTTCAGTCACTTCAGACAGTCTGCTAAGCAGGTTCACTCTAACATATTATAAAGCAAAGTACTTAATAGCATTTCATTCGCAAGACTTTTGACTGGTTGTACTTGCATACAAAAACACTATTTTCATAGTTCCCTGTATTATTCATATCTACAAAGGAGCCAACTTATTATTCTAAATTGATTTTCATATGTCGTGGACTGTACTCTAAAATTGTTAAAGAAAATTTTGAAGACAGAGACCAGTGATCTTCCTTTTTCAGCAGTTCTTTGACTTCTGCCAGATTATGAAGAAATCTACATAAGGGTTATTTCATTTCATTGGTTACTTGGTTGGTTATATTCCACATCAAACAGTTTAAGACCTATGGCGACTAGAGTGGTGGCTTTTGTTGTTTCTGACTATATTTCATTCCACGGTATTTTTATTATTATTACTCATTTCAGCTCATACTCTTAACTTTACTGTCTGATTTCAGTTCATGTAATTTATATTTGGTTTGCCACCTTTCCCTTTAAGAATCTTTCTACATGCATATGTACATAGACACAGACAGCTTTAGAGAAGAAATACACTCTTGTCCAACAACAAACCCACTATAATTCATATTTTACGACAGCATCAATGTATGGTTGTAATATTATTTAGTAGTTATTATTAGCCATACCTGGTAAAGAGGGAAGGTTGGGCATGAGGCTGGTAACCCCATCCCGTAAACATAAACATCACTGCTACTGAAACTTGAAGCCTCTAGCTTGAAGCCCTATGTTCCACTGGGAACGTAAAAGGATAAAAACCCAGCCATACCTGAAAAAGTGAAGGATAAATATATTGTATTCGAAGTCCCACATTTGCGTAGCGAACACTGGTCGTCAATCCGGCTCAGTCAAGTTCTTTCAGAATAATTTAAGTATGCCGTATAACTCCATAGTGGATATTGCTCATAATCATATCAACTTGATATGATTATGAGCAATAGTTTGTGCTCGAAACGTCATCAGTTAATATTACTGTACAACACTGTGATTTATTAAAATAAAATTTTATCCATTATGGAGTTATACTCTACCACAGTGCCCAAGTTTTATACTTATATGCCGTATAACCTTCTTCATAACTTTCAACACATGGCTAGAGCCACTGCCTTACATCTTTATTCAAAAAGAATTAGTGAAGTCCTTCTGCCTATATCATGAGTAATTTAAACAACCTGCAACTGAAACTATATACTAGTGGTTGATTGAGATGAGAATTAATATACCACTCATACCAACCAGTACTGCTTGCCAGTCAGATCACACTGATCCAAACCGAGAATAACCATTTTGCTCATTTGAGGCAATCTCATTAAAGGTTTGCCCGGTTTGACTCAGCTCAGGGATACGAATCAGTTCAAACTATCATATTTCTGGTTAGCTACTTTGCCTGTAATGGACTATTATCTGTTTACCCTGTGTATAATGCTTGCCTTCCATCTTCTTGTCATTATGATTGTCTATTTTAATGCTGTTATATTGCTGGTCAAATGCTGACTTGGTTCACAGTAATTTACAGCACTTTTGTTTATCTTATGTGATTGTACTTATTATAGTTTCGTATCTTATTCCTTTGTAAATCATATATGGGTGAATTTTCATGTGAAAGACACAAATGTATCGATTAGTTTTGTTTATCCATCTTTATTTACCCTAAAATGTTTGTCTAGTCTTTCAACAACTCATACATTCATCGAATTACGTAACAATATTGTCTTCTCTCCAAGTAGCAAACACTCTGTTCAACTAATTAAACTACACATAAAATTTCTATATAATTCGATATTAAATATTTTTAGGCTGAAAAAGACAGTAGAGATTCAATGAAGTAACTTTATGACGTTAAAATTTTTATTTTTTTATTTCATCAACTTTGAAGCTACATGCTGAAAACCCAGTATTCAATTTTCCTGGGAGAAAAACAGAAATTTCAGTCATATTTGGAGTCGAAATGATCATAATCTTAGTCTTCGTGTAGAGTATCGAAAGGAGTTTCAATTTCAATTCCCTTCCAACTTTATGTTTTTGCGCGGAACTTCGACTATGGTTTAGACCTCATTTTGAGTTTTGTTTTGAAGGAAACTCATTATCGAAAAGTTCTAAACTCCAAAAAAGGCCTACCATCAAATCATATTTTGTATGCAGGAAAGTCTGGCGAACCTATTCTTACCACAGTTTAACATTCTTTTAGCAACCTCAGTCAAAGCTAAAGTTTTCTTAAACATTTTAGAGCCAACTGGAAGAATTATACTGAAACCTCAATCAAATATGGGATTCACCTTGGCCAGAAATACCTCTGAAATCATAAATAATGAGGAAGGTGAATCAGAAAAACACAGGAAATTAGAACCTGTGATAGCTGTAAAGTAACCATTTTCATATGATCACAGTAGTCATGATATTAGATACCAATAAAAATTGAAGAAAATGAAAATTTACGCATTCCGAAAACATGGATCTCAACAGTCATCATTCCCTATAGAGCAGAGACATCAGACAATATCAGAAGAGTACTCAATCAGCTCGACATTAGAGTTTTCTTCAAAACATCAGACACACTTCAAAACAATCTTGTCCATATAAAAGACCAAATCCCTAAAGATTTTCTATCTAATTGTGTCTATCAAATAAAATGCTTGGAATGTGATGCGATATACATCGGACAAACATCTCGAGAAATCAAAATCAGGAGAAATGAACACCGTAGAGCATCTGTTCGACCACCGAGAAATCCGGTTGAACTAGAAAAGCTTGAAGAGTCATCAGCCATAGGTCTACACGCTATAGAATCAGGCCACAAAACTGATTTTGACAATATTGAAATAATCCAGAAAAACTTCAGAGATCACAGAGAACGTCTAATATCAGAAGCACTTCATATCAAGTGGAATCCAAATTGTCTGAATAGGAATGATGGACTAAAACAGAATTTAACACGGTTACAACTTCTCCCTCCCACATGAAGTGACAAAATCAACACGAATGTGATGAGCAAGTCCACTATGTAAACACACACTGCTTTTATAATTTTACACACTAATCAAATCCAACAATCTACACTTGGTTTTGTTATCTTTACCAATTGACCAACTTGACATCGAAAAATGTCCCCAGACTGACGAGAGATGATCAAGTTAGTAAACTTTATTTTGATATCATAACAGACGTACTATTATCTTTGTCATTTGGTTTAGTGATCTTCATTGTTATTTCGAATTTTCAAAATCTCAGCATATGTACATATAATAAAGAGTTAAGAGGCGAGAAAACAGACTTAGTTCAAGTTAAAGGGACATATTGAAAGTCGAAATAACAATGAAGATCACTAAACCAAATGACAAAGATAATAGTACGTCTGTTATGATATCAAAATAAAGTTTACTAACTTGATCATCTCTCGTCAGTCTGGGGACATTTTTCGATGTCAAGTTGGTCAATTGGTAAAGATAACAAAACCAAGTGTAGATTGTTGGATTTGATTAGTGTGTAAAATTATAAAAGCAGTGTGTGTTTACATAGTGGACTTGCTCATCACATTCGTGTTGATTTTGTCACTTCATGTGGGAGGGAGAAGTTGTAACCGTGTTAAATTCTGTTTTAGTCCATCATTCCTATTCAGACAATTTGGATTCCACTTGATATGAAGTGCTTCTGATATTAGACGTTCTCTGTGATCTCTGAAGTTTTTCTGGATTATTTCAATATTGTCAAAATCAGTTTTGTGGCCTGATTCTATAGCGTGTAGACCTATGGCTGATGACTTTTCAAGCTTTTCTAGTTCAACCGGATTTCTCGGTGGTCGAACAGATGCTCTACGGTGTTCATTTCTCCTGATTTTGATTTCTCGAGATGTTTGTCCGATGTATATCGCACCACATTCCAAGCATTTTATTTGATAGACACAATTAGATAGAAAATCTTTAGGGATTTGGTCTTTTATATGGACAAGATTGTTTTGAAGTGTGTCTGATGTTTTGAAGAAAACTCTAATGTCGAGCTGATTAAGTACTCTTCTGATATTGTCTGATGTCTCTGCTCTATAGGGAATGATGACTGTTGAGATCCATGTTTTCGGTATGCGTTTTCGGCCATACTTAATATCAGTTTTGATTTTGTTGATGAAGTTCTTCGGGTAGTTGTTTCGCTTTTGAGTTTCAGTAATGTTTGATATTACTTCTTCTTTTTCTTTCTCATCCGTTATGGGAGAGTGTGCTCGTATATGTAAGTTATGAACTTCGTTTTAAAATTGAAATTATAAAAATGAACTGATTGTTCATCTGAAATTCTTGATAAAATTTATGACCTTAGATTATACTGTTAGCTAACGGCACATCTTATGTATTCATTTTAAATCTGATTTATTAACATTTATGAACAAAATTAATTTAATATTAACAGTTAGTGAGTAAACTATTTCTCTAGGAGTTCCTCGGTGATGCTTAAATTAACTTAAATGATAAGCAAACAATAAAATGCATAACCGACTACAATAATAATAGTAATTGATAGCCTAACTGAAAACAACTTTTGAGGATTAGAAAGTTTCACACTCTTGTAAACTTTAATTACAAGACTGATAGAGTCTGTTTTTTTAATACTTAAAAAGACGGCTGTCACATATAGATGAAGTGAAAAGGAAATCATGAATATGACATTCCAGAATAGAAAGGTGATAAATAGTCATAATAATAATAATGCTTTGCATCTAGAAAATTAATATACAAAACATACTGAAACTAGTTTCTGCGTATCAAATAAATAATTGTCCAATTCTTCAAATGTCAGTAATTCTGCCATTCTCAGTGGACGATGAGATGGTTTCTTATCTCTCGCTGAACCATTTGTACTATTAGGCTTTAAGTTCAAATCTGCATTAGGCATAACAGTATGAGGTAGACGAGGACGAGTGAAAGTTCCACTACTCACTGAATTTTCATGATTATGTGAACCTATTTTTCAAAAATGAAAAAGATAACAAAGTTTAAAGGGGTTGCAACAACTTTTGGTTTCTAGGAGTTAAAATGAAAATAAATTTTTTTTCATTTAATCGTTACATCAAACTATTTAAAATTTATGACTAATTACTGTTATATACTCGGTTCACTTAGACGCTTCCTTCAGTATTTAGTCCTTATGGCTCATAATTCACTTCCCATGAGAACAGAAGAGGCTTTCTTTGCTCGCGACTAAAGTCTTTTGCATGGAATGTTATCTTTCAAAAACCAATTTGTAATACTGATTAACAATATCAGACGTTAAATCGTCAAGAGTTAATAATAAGCTTAAGTGAAAATGCATACTTCATAAATAAATCACGTCTTATTTTAGGCTAAGCATAGAAACATGTTGGTTGAAATATGTAGAATTTTAGAACCCATTAGTAATTTTCACTTATTTGGAGGAGTCGTAATGTTCATGCTTAAGAGAAGGAGAAAATGTTCTGTATTAAGATGGGTTTATACATATATCTCCTGTATTCACTAGATAAATGCTACAACAGATAACTGGAAAATAATGAACTATGAGTTTGCTTTCATAACAGTACTCGGCATCTACTGTGAAAATTGCAAATAGAGATTTATAAATAGTAAGACATACATACTTAACTACCTCTAGAAAACTGACAGACTGTCCTTATTGGAAAGAGAAAATTGATTGCATCGTTATTTCAGGGAAAAAACTTATGACTTATTCTAATTATTCCTTTCATAATGATAGATATCAGGAGTAGTTAAACCATAAGGTGAAAGAAATACATCAAAACTTCAGCAGTGATGGAATATGTTTTGGGTCACTACAACTCAGATTATGAAATAGGTGATGGATACAGTTGTCAATTAGGTAGTGCATGCTAAATGATTTAATTTTCAAGTTTGCGAAAGACATTTTAGAGTATAAAAATGTTTTACAGTGTATAAATGTGAGAAGTGGTTTTCATCGCTAAATAACTGAATCACCAAACTTTAATAATTAAACAGATGATACTGAAATACGGCTTGCATTTTCAAAGATCATGCTTCAGTTAAGTTTAGTTTTAAAGGTTATCTTTAAGTTAAATATCTTTCCTACGAATTCAGTTGTCTTGAAAGATATAAATTTGAATCACATTGATTTCTGTAACTGAAATTCTTGAAACAGTACCCAAACCTTTGATCCTTTTTATTTAGAAGTAAACAATAGTATCAAAATCATATTTCTCGAATTCAAAGAGGTTGGAATCCATATGCCATAGGATTGGATGAGAGTGGCTGAATGGTCTACGAGGTCGCTTTGTAACCCGAAGGTCCTGGATTCGAATCCCTGTGGGTGTGTACTGCTGAAGAGTCCCAAACTTGGATGAAGCAACTGTGCAGTACTCCCAGGTTTTTCAGTGGTTCTGTGACTGATTTTCAGCTGGTGATTAAACCTGTTAGTTCTTTAGAGCCTTTTTACAGACTTCATTACTAGTTGTTCATGTAGCTGTTTTCTTAATATGGCAACCTACATGAGATTCTCACTGTCTCGGGAAATTATGTTATTATTTTATTTTTATTTATTTATTATTTCTAAATGTGAATATCATTAGCATAATTTGTTTCCCAACAGTTCTAAATATTATGAAATGTATACTGTCTTCTTTCATTCACTTTACTGGTTTATTTGTAGTGCTAAATTGTTTCCAAATCAATATTTACTAATAAAGTTTTCGTGCCCATGATTGCATCAATCACACTTTAAGCTTTAACAAGGGTGTAACGCATATTTTTTCACTTCAGTAATCAATAACACTTGTTATCTGCTTTCAGTTGTTATGTAAGCTGTTGTCTATCTTAATTTAGTATTTTCTTGAAAACATTTAACTATTATTACAGTTATTACCGGTTAGTTTTTCTCTTTTGAGATTTGTATGGTTATTGAAAAACTAAGTCAGAAAATACATTGAATAGCAGTATTTATGTTAGGTATGCTACACTTCTAAACACATTTGGAAAACTATGGAAGCGAATTCCGTTGGGTGAAATGCTAAAGATTTTTTGAAAATTCAGTCTTAGAAGCTTTGACTTGCAGTATGCAATTTACGGTACAGACAGAAACAACACTTGACTGTGTATAACTCATAATCTTTCATACAAATGAAGAGCACGTTAAAATTGGGTACATTTCTGAAGATAATAATCTGTTCTCATTTGCTTGTACATTAGAGACCCTAAATAACAGGCATTATGAAATATCATCGGTGATAATAGGCAGCCTTGTCTTATTCCTGTCTGCACTTCAAAAGCCTCACTGAGTTTTCCGTTGTGGATCACTTGACACGTGGCTTTGTCATATAGCTGTTGAATGAGGTAGTTAATGGTTAATGAATTTTTCCAAATCACAATAATTTAAATAAAACAACACTAATGAAATTATTTCTATTAAGTCGCCCTACAGCGGCATAGGCAGTATACATGTTCTAATCCCTGGTGTCAGCACTATTCACTATTTAATTAAAGGCACGCATTACATAAAGAGTGCCTTACAAATAGTTAGTTTACTGATAATAATACCTGCAGCATATCTGAATGCGAGAGGCTTACCACAACAATCAGTATGTAGTTAAATAGTTGAAGAAGGTTTAATACTCTGGCAGTAAGTAATAACATGAAATTTTCTGTTTATATGCAGCTAGAAACCAGAATAACGTCAAACTGATCCATGTAAAATGATAGATGGAACATGCAGAAGGTGAAAATCACTATCATATGAGTCAGTGAGATTTCAGCTCAGTAGCTGAACTCACCACGTAATCGTATAAAGGACGAAATCAATGCAAAGAAATTCCTGTGAATGACTTTCAGTCAATAAAGCATATGTGTACTCATATCTTCCAGTTAACTTCAAGTAACAGATAACAAATAATCTAAGGTATATGTGTAGAATTTCAGTTTTAATAAATCTATTATGGCCATACAGTTTTTCAAAATCAGTTTTATAGAATAAACAGAGTCTAAATATTCTGCATAAATGAGAGCTCATGTATATCAACTCACCGGAATTAGATACTGAACTATTAGATATTGTAGAATGGTAACTCCTTTCCATTTGATCTAAACCCAATGCTCTATCCAATAATTCACTTGGACTCTCCATAGTATATGTATGCTTACTAGTACTACTGCTATTGCTGCTACCTCTGTCGCTATTATTATCACTTAAATTTAAAATGGAATTTTGCTTAGAGAAACACAGATCAGGTAGAATTTCATTGTCATCAGCATCTGATGAATCCTGAGAAAGCTCCTGAAGACCTTCAGCAGCACTGGTCAACAAATTTTTAGTAACCTTCCTCGTAGTTTTAGCGTTTGGATTACTTTTGGTATGTTTGACGTTAGCAGTCGATGTTTTTATGGTTGATCGACTACTTTTTGGCTTTTTTATTGAACTCAAGTTAGATGTGTTAGATAAACTTGAATCCCTGTGAGGCTTGGCCTGATTGTCGTTACAACATTGATTTGTTGAATATGTAGGATAAGTTGTTGTGTTAAAGGCTAGATTAGCTTCACAGTTTGGAGGTGAAATATACTGATTAATTGACGGTGCTATGGACGATTCAAGTTCTAAAGAAGAAACTCTAGTTAGCCCAAGTGTATTTCGTAGTGTTTCTAAAAAGGAAATAAAAGGTATATTGATTTTTAATGAGATTAAAAGTATAATACTAATATAAAAATGTCTATTTATTTGTTTACCAAGCATACAAATCAGATATCAGGCTTTCAATCAAAGGATACTTCCAAATATCTTCTAGATTAGGTCGATTACTCCACAAGTGGAAATATTACGTATGTCTTATAACCTAACTAAAATAACAGAAAAAGCAAAGACTTCTTGTAACGTCAAGCTGATAAAGATGCACCCCATTATCACAATGAATCGGGATTTAAGCGCATGTCGTGTTAGTCCATAATACATTGTGTTCTAGATAGAGAGAGTTAAGTAATTTATTTACTCAATACGGTTTCAAACAGCCACATGATGGTGCCAGATGCCAAGTGATTCACAACGGCACGCCTAGTGAAATATCTGAAGAGAAGATAGGGATGAGACAGTGCTGCCTACTATCATCAATGTTATTCCTGACTGTGGTGGACTGGACCATGCAAGAAACCATGAGAAAAAGGTCATATGTTGGACTCTAGAAGCTCTAAGCTTCACGGATGGTTTACATCTAATGTCACAACAACTTGAAGATCTACAGCCAACAAGTCGGCAGAAAAAATGCAGCGAAGACAGGACTTCAAGTAAACACAGAGAAGATATGGGTGATGAAGATACTCAACCAGTAACACCAAGCACCAATCACTATCAGTGGATGAAATATAGAAAAGTCATCTCTCCCACTATCAATGACAGCATCGTTTCAGCTACAGTCGGCACAGATGAGGATGTAAAAGCCACTGAGGATCGGAAAGTCAAGATACACCTTCATCAACCTGAAATCAGTTTGGAAATCTTCTGCACTGAGCTCAGCAAAAAGAACAAAATTTGGATTTTCAAAACTCATGTCAAGTCAGTGAATGCTTTTATATGTTTCAGGGACTTGGCACATCACCGAAAGTATTTCGAACAGGCTCCAAACTTTCAACAACATCTGGTTTAGCACCATACTGAAGATGAGATGGCCGGCTGGTCGGTAATGAAAAGCAACGACAAACCAACCAAGTACCTGCTGTTCAACAAATAGGCGGAATAAATCGGAGATGGGTCGGATACAAGCTGAGGAGACCACTGAGTGATATCGTGAGCCAGTGAGGTCCTCGAGTGGAAGCTGAGTTGAGCTAAAGGATCAGGGCAATGGGTCATGTCTCTTGTGTGACACGTACTAGTTGTTATTTGTTGTTTCAGTGAGAGGAGCAACACTAAATAGCATGCTGACATATCCATATGACGAGTCTAAAAAAGGACGAAACAAATCCCTGTAGATCCCATTGTTAACCACTATCAACCGGAAAACACCATGTTAACTTTTAAGCATCGCCAAAGTATCGTCATTAGGGCCTGACATATCAACATAGACTGGACATTTTAGTCAAAGAGAATCATTCGACGAGAAATTCAAAATAATAGTCTCAACAATTAAAATGTACTACTATTTTATCATGGTGAATGAATTCAAACAATGAATATCACTTAAATAACCTAGGCAACACAACCTAAATGAAACATGTATGCAAAATAAACTGAAATTAATTCAAAAATCAACTTTGCACTATTATGGTAATTTTTCTTATTTAAAAGAAGCATTATTTGCATTTTCGTCTCTTTCGAAAATCTATTTGGAGACACAATTGTAACTAAAGGAAATTAATTCATTTTACCTTACAATGATAACAGTTTTATTAAAAACCAAAGAAATCCAACGTTTATCAGTATGAAGTGGAATTCATTAAATTTTCTGCTATCTCTGTGATATAAAGTAAAATTTAGAATGATAGATACACTGGATACTGGTTATTCAGCATGAGTTAGAAACTTCGTTGCTATTATCAAGAAGCATTAAATATTGTGAACAAAGATGGCCTACTTTAAGCAGTAAGATAGTCGCACTATAAGTCGATATGTAATGTGTATTCATTAGGTTTTTGCTTTCCTCCTATCATGTCATCTCAAACTCCTAGCTTTAAAATATTCTGGATCTCTTATTCTTTTGGACAATGTTCCTGTTTCCAAGCCCTTTTAGTTTTTATTGGTAATCATTTCTGAGCGATGCTCAGTACATCCAGTTGATAAGTCCCAGAGAGGGTGAAATGTGCATCCTGGCCCCACTGATAATCACCAGCTACCAAACTACTCAGTACTTATTGTTTTTCGTTTATGTCAATCCATATGTTTTGTTACCAACTGGCATAAACAATTTGACCTTACAGGCATTTCCTTGACCTTTTACAACTGTATGTAACTGTGTAGGTTTGAAGTGAAGTTAGGAAAAGAATATTCTTTGCTAACTTATGTCTTTTCAACTCATATCACACGGGTATTTTGCATACTTTAAAGATAATCAGAATACAACTAAACTAATGACAAGATAAAAGAAAGGAAAATGAGAAAAAGGTATAGGTAAATTCAGAGTTCATAGTTCAGTGAAAGGCTCCGATTTTTTAGCCGAATGATAGACATTGTCAAGTGTGTAAAAGTCAATAACTTTCTATCTTGTTCGTCTGAACTACTTATCTAGATGTTACGTAACTCCGTAAAAACCAGACAGTGAATTAATGGTTCGTAGGTATAAGTGCAAGTGACTACACAGATTGGTAATCTCTTGAATTATCCGGATAATTCACTGATTTATCTAACACTGTAATTCTACTCAAAGTGAGCTAGTAAAAGTATACACTATGGGGTTATCAATCAGCGAGATATCATTCAGCTACTTTAAATACCTCATTTTCAAACGTGTACCCACATAAATGAAGGCACGATAAATTTAGAGATGATTCAGTCACGAACTAGCATCAGTTATAGAACCGCTGGAAACCAAGAATTGCGAGGACAGACATCAATCGATAATATTACTTATCTGTGTAGTTATACACTGCCAATCGACAACAGATAGAATTCACGAGCCACTGGATTCCGTTCCAGTTGCTGAATGGCAAACAGACTTACCACTTGACCTGAAGTTCCTGGGTTCACCCCATGATGGCATCGTGAATGCATACTGATGAGGAATGTCGAACTATGGCGAAAAAACTTTGGTTTCAGTGATCTTTTAACTGAAATCAGTTCATGATTTAACTTGAAATAAATAGAATCCCTACAAGCCTACACTAGAAGAGTATACCTTTGAATGTTCTATAGCAATAAGAAAGACTCTATTATATAATGTACTCCATTAAAAGAGAAAACTTATTCTTAGTTAATTGTGAGAGTTGTAAATAAAATTTATCAAATGTTTGCCTAAGTTCAGCTATACAATGAATTTATATTCAGTATTACGTTATCATTCAAAGTAGTAGTTGACTTGTATATACTTACCGTTTTGTTTTCTTATTACCGAACATTACATGTTTAAGAGAGTCAATGCCCTACCATCCAATGGCATAATCCAGCTTTAAGTTTATCGGTTCATTTAAATGTTATTCTGACAATTTGACTGTCTGACAAAAGTTTTACACTTATTAATACGTATTGAATGCATGTATGGAAAGATTATGTATTCTGCTAATTTAATATGAATACATGAAATTCGATGGACTGAAACAATTCACCAGTTTTACCTCGCTTGAATGAAGAGTTGTCAGATTTTGTTGGCTTATTTAAATTAAATTCTGATAACAAACTGCTAATAATGGTAGAGTAAAAACTAAGTGAGCTAAGTTTATTCACATCACAGATAAATGGTAAGTCCTCCTAAGATACGTTCAATTGTGGAAAACTACATCCAGGCAGACAGTTCTTATCTTAAAGAGGACTCTTACATTCTAGAAATAGTTAAAAGGAAGGCGACACGTATGATTCTAGGAATGACTAATTTATCTAGTGAATAAAAACTTGACAGTTTGAATCTTTTCTCCTTACCACACCGTAGGCGGAGAGAAGATCTCATCGCATTGTTTAAAATTCTAAGAAATGACTATGGACCTGATCTATCTACTCTTTTCCTTCCCACCTGGTCGGAACCTCTAATGGGCATAGTAGGAGAGTTCTAAAGCCAAGGAGGGACTATGTCGCTGCGGAGTACTGACTCCCTCACCGAGTCATAAACTCTTATAACCAACTCGTAGAAAAAGTGGTGTGATTTGTTCATGAAAGTTTTAGACAAGCTCAGAAACTTATTAACAAAAGATTAACATAGACTTCAAGTTTTCTAACTTCGATCAATAAGTGTGAAATGCATTTTAGGTTCAGATTTATCTGCCTCCATGGGAATCAGGACATCAATCTATGACTCACTGTACATGCAGTAAAATAAAAAACCCAAACTAATCTTCGAGCATCACGTCACATAAAATACAGAATATCTAAGAAGTGTTTAGACAAAATCAAAAGCCTACTGTTTCAATCTTCCAAGGTAACGTATTTCATCAACAAAATGTTTATTTTACTTTTGTCCAATTTTATTTTTTCTGAGTCTAGTGGTGAGTTACAGACGATAGTTTTTCCCGAAAGAAATTTAACATTTGCGTTTTGCTTATCAACATTCTGTTTCGAAGTCTTTACATTAACAGTACTAGTTGAGTGGGTAAGAAAATATGAAAGGATTTATCTCATTCCCTGTAATATTTCTAATGTACTTCGTATTCAACTATTCTTGAGGCTTTCAGTACTCGGGTTAGTAATCCAAGACTAAGTTCGTGCAATCTGGATCTCTTTTATGGCAGGGAAAAGCCGCAACTAATTGCATCCACTTCCCATTTTATTTGTCTTTGATACTGACTTAGAAAAACAGTCCTTATAATATGCTGCAAATGAACTGAAAATAAGTAGAGGATTTCGGTGCGTATGATGTAGGTATTTTTTATAAGACCTGTTTTATGCAATACATTATCAATAACTGGTTGACGTTTTGAGAACAATTTATTGCTGCTGATAATCATATTAATGTATTCATACGGCTTCATAATTTGCTATGTAGGATTCTTAATAAGGCTGGAGTCAGGGTGGCAGTTAAACCAACCAACTCACTTAGAGACAAATTTTGTCAGTTTTAAGGCCTAACAGATCCAATTAAGAAAAATGACATAATTTACCAAATACTATATAATGGCTGTGAAGTCAAGTACACAGGTCAAACTAGTAGATCATGGTCAATCAGATTGACGCAACATAGCAATTTAGCTAGATCTAGAATGATTGATCTGGCTAAGTTAAATAACCTAGAAACATATCTCGGCGATTTCAATGAATTCGCTTGCATTTAGGCACGCTGTAGGGTGAAACATGGTAAAAGTATTGAAAAATAATATAGGTTAAGCACATAATCTTTATTCTCACCAATCTACACCAAATATGTGCAATTTAAATAGTGCAACGCCTTTGCCGGATAAATGGAAAACTGCAATAAACGACAAGGAGGAGAGAAAATATTAATAAAGCAAATTAAGAAGCCATGTGAATACATTTACGCGATTATGAGCAGCAGTAATTTTTTCTCGAAACTTCGACCAATTATTGATAATGCATTACTGTGTGTTATATCTAATAAACTTATCCAATATGGAATATAGAAATCTGTTGAAATTTATATTCTGAAATATCAACTGACAATAATGTTGTCTCTACAATACCTAAATATCTGCATCTTGACCTCACATTTTATTCATACATTTCGTCTAGGTAGTGTTTAAACAGTATACTTAAAAAACGCTAACAGTATTGTTTAACTAGTTGTCATGACTTATTTTGTAAATTCTTTAAAAAAAACTTCAAAATAATGAGGTTTTAACAGTGAAAGTAAGTGTCAACTAACCTGATTCATATAATGAATGATCTGTATTTTGATGACTGATAGGTAGTGGAGAGTTTATCGTTGAAACCGATGAATTGTTTAATGTTCCACTTATATTTTCAGTATTAAAAGTAGCTTGTTGTTCTTGTAAAAGTTTTGTATCTTCTGTGTGATTAAGATTTTTTGAATTACTGCCATAAATAAAGTTAATGTTGTGTGAATTCGATTGTTTCTGTACTGTTCGACAGTCTGTAGACACTGCTCTCTGATTAAAAAACAAAATGCAGACAATAATGAAGAAATTTATTTTATAACATTTATATACACTTAAAATTCACGAGCACACAAAACTGTTGAAATCACGAGACGACCAGAAAATTCTCTCTCCGTCTCTCGAAATAATGCTAGAAACTAACCAGTCAACTTCATCACATCAATTACTCGTTTATATAAACACACATTTATACACATACGCTTATAAATGAATGTTCAATTGATAGATTACAAACAACTCCAGTGTCAAACTTAAGAGGTCATTTAGAAGTTTTCTTATATTAATTTCATCGATCGAAAATAATAACAAACTAAGTTTCATAATATTCTTAAATTATGCAGGTTAATAGGGTTTAATATTCAAAGTATGTGGGTTATTAAGACCGTTTAAGCCAGTCAAATATTTAAAGCTGTATAGCAGGTAATGAACAGTTTTATCAGGTCTGCTTATATTGACATCATAACGCTCACATTCACACTCATGTACACAATGTAGTCAGTCATACTTGACTGTGAATACTTCATTAATAACAATATCTAGAGTCTTATTTGATAAACGTGATAAGTCAAAAAAACGGTTATAGAGTTAGACTTGTTCAGTGAATTAAATTATAAAGATTTAAATGAGCATAGCTTTGATCAGTGTATCAATCAATACAGTGACTTAAAAGTTCTTCCAGTGTGTTCACGTGGCAACACTAATGAAAACCTGATTAACATGATGGTTAAGTATTGATAAACTATACTGTCAATTTGTTAGAACCATGAAGCACAAATCGGGTTGCATATCACGTATATTATTTGAAAGTCATTCACTACAAACACGCATCTATTTTAGTGTTAATTCTAGATATTAATTTCAGACACTGGATTTAGTTTAACAACAATTAATTAGGATAGCTAAAATAGACCAGTGCATTTTTAAAGGCTGAAACGTGATTTCAGCGAGTTATCTTTGAAATTTTAGTCAGTGTAACGTCCAGAAATAAAACTATAAGTTTCTCAGCAAGAAATAAAATGATTAACTGCAAACAAATAAGCTAGAGAATTCAAATCAACCAACAGCAACAGGAAAAAGTGATAGTAAAATTAATGCTGGACCTTAAATACTCTGTTTAAATCAATCTTTCTAAGGAATAATTTGAAAAATAACTCTCCAAAGAGTAATAAGATTAAGAAAATAATAAAAATGACTGAAGTTGTCTATTCAATGATACCGCCGACTCTCATAATTACACTACAGATTAAAGATTAATTAGTGTAAATAATCTGCAACTGTAATACATCTCTCCTCATAATGGGTTGTGAGTTATACAGTGAGTAAATGTATCACAATGTAAGCTCTGCAAAGTTAAATCAGTAGCCTTATGCTGAGAAACCTACAACTCTCTTAGCACACGTAAACGTTTAGTGGGTTAACTGCTAGATTATCGTGACTCTTGCTTAGAACTTTGTTCATAAACTTCAGTAATTTATAAAATGATATAATTTAATTTGATGTGAATCTTTATTGCCACCTAAACTTGCACGGAGGTAATTTTAAACCTTCCAGAAATTCATCAGAATGTTGTAAAATAGTTGTTTTTCAATAAATTAACGAGTGAAAAGACCTAATCCCATATAAGATAAGGTAGATGAAGCCCTTAGACAGCTGAACATAAGTTATGCTTTTCTTAACTCCATTTGTCCTTACTAATTGAAAAGGTGCACACATCACTTTAAAATAATCAATTCTGTTTAAATTTTCTGACGAATAGCTGATTTCTGATCGATGATTGGTTGAAATGCCCACTATAATTTAAGGCTTACAAATCAAGGTACTTATATACAGCCTTCAGTAGTCAACATAAGAAGTTGAAATTTTTTATCCTTTTTCTGCCTTCGAAATAAATGATAAATAGGAGAAAGGGTTAGCGAAATTACAAGCACATAGTACGATAAAATACTTTGCTGCGATCAATTTTCCTTATCTGTGAAGCATAATAAATCATAAATTTGGTCGAACTGTTTAATGTACAGTGACATACGTAAAACTTTTTTGTGGTATTTTGCTTGTCAGTCAAGTATTCACAACACTTCTGTACACGTATGTTTTGTCAGCAAAATCGGTTAGTGTGATTATGCTATTGGCTGATTTATAATTCTGCAACAGTAAAAATATACAAACTTTCACAAGCACAAAGTAGAAGGATAATCCGTTAAAAAAATAGAAACATTTATACTTCTTAGCTCAGCACAATTAACGACCTAATATAAGTTCCTTTTTTGTATTAAAGTTATCGTTAAAGAAGTTGACTAGAAAGACAATGAAACCTCCTCAGCTAAACCACTCATTTCAGAAAATATGACAACAACAATTTCTGATTAAATTTTTGGCGGGTTGCAGGTCATTAGTTATTTGAACAAATATCATTCGAATAGTTTTATATATTTAAACTCTATTCGACACTTGTAATATATCTAGTGAGACTTCGTCATTGAAAGTGGAAGATATGAAAAGGTTGGCTACATATATTTACTCTCCACCTCTTATTTTAAGTCACTTAATATGGTGGGCGAAATCGAAGTTAGGCGCAAAGTGCTACTTAAGGAAGGGAAATGGATAGATAACGTCGTGAAGCTATATTAGTTGGGATTGCTAGGACACGTAGAGAACATAGCCTTCCTTGACAAACAAATAGGGTTGGGTTAGAAAAGATTTAAGAGTGGTCAAATCCAGAGCTGGAATCACTTCATGAGCCAGTTTTGTCGTCATTTGTGAACTGCCTGGTTTGGGTTTGAAGGATACTAAGGACGAATGTCAGTAAATTGGATAATGTGACAGACAGTGGGCAATGAGGAAACAGGCATAAAATGGACTCACACAAAATACTTGGAGGATCTGGACTTCGCCGATGATATATGTCTGATTTCTCACAAACTGGAAGATACGCAAGCGAAAAGCAACAAGTTAGCAGAAGAAGCATCAAAGATAGGACTTCAGGTGAACATAGAGAAAACAGAGGTGATGAAGATTCCCGGGAAACACCACCAACAGCAACAAGAACAACAGACAACAATCAGCATAAATGGGAGGAACCTGAAAGAAACAACCCCTTTTACCTACCTGGGAAGCATCGTCCCAACTACAGGCAGACGGAACTGACGAGTATATCAAAGCAAGAATCGGAAAAGCAAGACAAGCTTTCACTACTCTCAAGTCTGTGTGGAGGTCAACAGCACTCAGCACCAAAAAATAAGATCCGGATTTTCAACTCCAATGTGAAGTCAGTGCTACTATACGGATCAGAGACTTGCACTGAGCGTCATAAAGAGCATCTCAAACAAACTACAGACCTTCATTAACAGCTAGCTGTCTTCGCTCAATACTCAAGATCAGATGGCCAGCCAGAGAAGATCAGCAACAGGGATCTCTGGGAGTGAACCAACCAGGTACCGATTGTGAAACAAATAGGCAGGAAGAAATCGAGATGGATTGGTCATACTCTAAGGAAGCCATCAAGTGACATCACTAGACAAGCCATCGCTCGAGTGGAACCCGAAAGGGCATCGGCGAGTTGGTCGTCAGGGCAAGGGTGACTTGGAGGAGGTCGTGTGAAGAGGAGATGAAAACGTGTGGGCAGACATGGAGCCAGGTGAAGATTCTAGCAGAGAACCGAACGCAATGGAGACGCACTGCTGAAACCCTATGTTCCTCTAGGAATTAAAGGAAACAATAATAATAATATAGACGAATGTCTGGAGACTATTGGTGATATTGCTCAAAATCGTAATCAGCGGAGTAGATGAATTCAATTTTTTCTGGTTTTCCATATCCATTAAACTCTCATATTTTTCACGTGGTAATTCTTTTCTCCAGTACTTTTTTCTTTAGTTCTTTTTTGAATCTCTTTCTTTTTTTGGTGCTGCATGTAGTGCGGCAACTTGAAAGGGTGTACTTCAGTGCAACATTCTAAGTTGAAACTCAGTCAGTGTAAGATTTTCTTAAACTGAACATTGCTAGGGAATCAATAGAAGAGGAAACTGAAGCAGAAATACTTTCATCTAAATATTTACACTGTTTTCCAATATTAACAATACTTCATACTAGCAATACATAGGTAAGTTAAGCAATTAGCTGGGTTTACAAATTTAAAATTATGTTTACATTTTGCTAATTTTAGGATTGAAATTTAGAAACACAACATTCAACTGCACTTCAACTGGTCAGTAAACACACCGAATCAATGGACGTGGAGAATTTACATTCTTAAAATTAATAGAAATGAAATGACATCAAAAAGCAGAGTGACTGAGATACACTGTTATAATGTGTATATATAAGATAGTGCGGCATTTAATTAGTACACCACTTTTAACATCACTTAAAAGGAAAAGTATTGCAGGAAAGTGCTTGTTAACAAACTGGTTCATCATTTTCAGACTGCATTAAAGGAGAAAATCTTTCTTCATGTGGCATGTAGTTCAGTTTTATGTGAGCTATCGAAAATTCAAAGCTCTAATATGTTTCATACATAATAAGTAAAAAACAAAGCTACCTAAGAATTTACCTATGTAGTCTTAGAAAATCATACTGAAAAAATTTTTGAAGAGACTGTGAAGTACAAAGCAATTCATTTTAGGAAACTTTAAGGCACTATGGCAAGATGCATCTAGTTTTAAAAATCAGTCCAGCTTTGGTTATGTTAAACACATCCTCATATGAATTTCCAAGTTTATTCCCGATTTTTCGGCTATTTTATCTTTTTTTTAATTGGAAGTGTAAATCACCAGTTTGTTCATTCTTTTTCTAAAATAATGGTAACCACTCAATTCCAGAAAAAAATACAAATGAATTTCATAACTACTAAAGAAACTAAAGATTCACAGTGTTGAAGTTTGGAACATAGTCGATGAAGCACAATAGCTTACCAAATAAGTAGATATTCAAGTATTGGTTTGTAGGGATTTGATTGATTGGTTACAGGAATTCATCATGAGTTGATATCGGAA